TTTTTTTTTTTTTTTTTTTTTTTTTGTATCAATAGGTAGTTATGTTTGACTCATTTCTGTGTGTCCTTTTTTGCTAAAGGAGTGGGGGAGGTGCCCAGAGCACAGAGGACGGACTCAGACTGTGTTGTAGGCTGGATCTCAGCAGGTTGGGACCCCTCAGTGACAGGAGCGGCAGCCTTTGGTCAGATGCCCCCCAGCCAGCTCTGAACTCTGCCTCGGGCCAGTCTCTGCAGTGTGAACTCTCCGAGGACTGTACTCAGGCCTGCCGTGTGGGGCACTGTAAACTGAACGTGCCATGTGGAGTGTCTGGTGTCAGGTGTGCACATGAGGCTTTGGCTCTGCTAACCACGAGCGGTCACGTGTAGTGTAACATTTAGAAAGCAGGGAACGGTGAAAGGAATGACGTGAAATAGCATAAAACTCCCTGGCGACCAGAGAAAGCCAGCGCTTACCTGTTGATATATTTGCTCCCGATTCTTTCTCTATTCTTTAAAAAAAAGTGGGATTCACGCTACTTGTCTGCTTTGATATTATTTCTCCACTGATGTTCTGTAGGCATTTCTTCATGTCGGAGCCTTAAAGAGTAACTTGTAGTGACATCCACGGTAGGAACACAGGGTAACACGTCGCCTCTTATTTACTGTGTGACTTCCAGCTCTCCTTTCTGTATTTTTACTGCTATAAAAAAGTCTACAACTAACAGCTTTACACAAAGGCTTTTGTCCACATACGGCATCCCTGGGACAGATTTCCAGCTGTGGAATCACTGAGTGGGGGGGTCATTTTTGAGGTTCTTGACAGCCCCTGGGAAGCTGGGGCCCAGCACAGACCCTGAGACCCACCGGCCCGCTCAGGTGGGCTGGGATTGTTCTCCCTGTGGTATCCTGCAGCGACCCTCTGGGTTTGGTGCACCCACCACAGCCCCGTCTCTGAGAGAAGAAACCAGGGTTTTGAGAGATCAGGGGACTTTGCTCCATGTTGCAGGAGTGTTTGGCCACACCTGAGGGCTAATTCCACACTGCAGCCCTCAGCCTTGCAACCCCACCCCCGTGCTGAGGCTTCACTATGTTCAGTCAATTGACAGGTGAAAAGGATCTATGATTTAGATTTGCACTAATTGATTACTGGAAGATGTGAACATTTTCATAAGCTTATTGGTAGTTTATTTTGCTATGAATTACCCACGTCCTTGTTATGAAAAAAATGCCATTTTTCTTTATCAGTTTGTAAGCACTTGCCGTATTATGACTATTAACTCTTTGTCACGTTTGTTGTAAATAATGTTTACAACCCAAATCTGTTACTTGCCTTTGGGTGGATTTTCACAAACAGGAGTTTTAAATTACAATGTCTGAGGCTTTTCCTCTTTGATTCCTTCCATCGTTGGGGGTTTTAAAAGCCCTTCACCGCACCGTCCACAGAAGGTCAGCCGCTTTCTTTCTCCCCGTTTAATTTTGTGATCTGTCTTCTTGTGTAGATGGGGGTCCTCCCTGGTTTGCTCCCTACACTCACCCCCACCCCCGACCTTACCTGGCCGTGCCGCGTCAGTCTGGGGCACTGCCGGGCCCCTTAACAGGTGCTCTCCCCTGTGCCGACCTTAACCAGGTGTCGACCTTAACCAGATGCTTTGGCTCTTCTCTCCCCTCTCTAAACAACAACACAGAAAGAAAGGAAGAGTGGAGTTCCAGATCCCTCCCCGCCTCCGAAAGACACGCTGTTGCCGTGGCCCCAGCACCAGACCTCCAGTGGGCTGAGACGACAGAAACGGGACTGGGTCATCCCGCCCATCAATGTGCCGGAAAATTCCCGGGGGCCCTTCCCACAGCAGCTCGTGAGGGTGAGTCACCATCCCGCTGGGTGTTGAGGGCAGCGTCGGCCATTTCGGGAGCCTTCATTGGACATTGCGTGTGGCGTCCCAGGAGGTCAAGATTCCACCTCTTGGGTAATGAGCTAGCGTCACACAGAGCAGAGACACGCTCAGGAGGGGAGGTGCGCCCTGTGGGGCGGACGGGACGTGAGTTACGGGTGATTCTCTCATGGTTATTTTCAAATGACGGCTGTTGAGCATGGAAGGGGGTGGGAGGGATGATGTGGATCATGGTCTTTGACCTCTGGCCCTTTGTGTGATCTGATTATTCCCATTTCTTTCCATTTATGACTGAGATACGGGTGGTGGGATGGTGACACGTCTGTGACAATGACCCCCATGCTGAGATACTGGTGAGGTGGTGACATGTCTGTGATAATGGATGCCATTCTGAGATACTGGTCATGGCCACTGGGATGGTGGCATGTCTGGGACAATAGTCACCGTGCTGAGATACTGGTCATGGCCTGGTGGTGGCACATCTGAAATGATGACCCCCATGCTGAGATACTGGTCATGGTGAGGTGGTGACACATCTGAGATGATGACCCCCTTGCTGAGATACTGGTCATGGCCAGGTGGTGGCATGTCTGTGACGATGACCCCCATGCTGAGATACTGGTCATGGTGAGGTGGTGACACATCTGAGATGATGACCCCCATGCTGAAATACTGGTCATGGTGAGGTGGTGACATGTCTGTGACGATGGCCACCGTGCTGAGATACTGTCATGGTGAAGTGATGACACGTCTATGACGATGGCCACCGTGCTAAGATACTGTCATGGTGAGGTGATGACACGTCTATGACAATGGCCACCATGCTGAGATACTGTCATGGTGAGGTGGTGACACGTCAAGACAATGACCACTGTGCTGAAATTTGGAGCCCTGAGCCTGAGGCCAGCAAGGCTGTGGTGGACAGTGCTGTCCCCCATCTGAAGGCTCCCTGGCGTCACTGTGTTCCCTGCAGGTTGCTTTTCCTGCAGTAGGAATTTATTTTACAAACTTGTGTTTCTGTAACTAGGCCATCAACCAAGATTTCTTCTTCCCTTTGAAGAAAATTGCAACCCAGACTGAGCAATAATTTGAGAAAATGATGGTGAGAATCCCATTAAATGATTCCCACCCATTGCAGGAAAGCCTCACCCCACTCTTTGGCGACGAGGGTCCCCAAGCATGACTGAGAGTCCTTTTCATTCCTGCTGCTGACTGGCCTGCTCCGTTTCTTGATCCTTCTGCCACAGAAGGTTGGGCTGTGTTTGGAGCACAGACGGGAGTGGAGGGAGCAGCCCAGCAGTGACTCCGCGGTCTGAGTCCCCAGCCAGGAAGGGCCCTCAAATGGCAGGCTATTCAGAGAAGAACTCAATGTTAGTGAAAGTAACGTTCACACCAAACTCACTGGCCACCCAAGGTGACTCAGTCACAAGGAGCCACCCTGCCTTCTTTGCTCCAAGCCAGTCCTGTGGCCCCAGCATCCCCCAGCATCCCCCTATGGAGGTCTCGGCTTTCCTGAGTCATCCACCTACTTGAGTTGCCTGGCTGGGCTGGAGGTTTTTTACTTCGGACTGAAACCTCACCCTGGCATCAGTCTTCTGAGCCAAGTGGCCAACCGCCAGGCCCCCAAACTCAGGACGGTGCTGGTGACACTGTGTCTGTCACCTGTGCCACTCACCGCCTGCAGGTATGTCTGGCTGTCCCTTGTGTTGTCAGTGATTTAAAATTTTTCTCTAAGCAATTCATTCTTAATGTACATAAGGTTATTCTTATTTATAAGAACACCAGCACTGCCTGTCTTGATGGAGACAAGCATAAGGCAAGAAAACAGCTGCGGAAGGGCACACTGTAGCCTGAAGACTGCCCTCTGTCTCCCCCGAAAGGAGGAGGAAACTGTTATAGGGACACCAGGACCAGGCAGAGATGCCCGTGTGAAGGTTCTCAGGGCAGGGCACTTCCAGGACCAGGCAGAGATGCCCATGTAAAGGTTCTCAGGGTGGGGTAGGGTCAGGACCAGGCAGAAACACCCCTGTGAAGGTTCTCAGGGCAGGGCACGGCCAGGACCAGGCAGAGATGCCTGTGTGACGGTTCTCAGGGTGGGGTAGGGCCAGAACCAGGCAGAGGTGCCCCTGTGAAGGTTCTCAGGGCTTGACATGGCCAGAACCAGGCAGAGACGCCTGTGTGAAGGTTCTCAGGGTGGGGCACGGCCAGGACCAGGCAGAGGCGCCCCTGTGAAGGTTCTCAGGGCTTGACACGGCCAGAACCAGGCAGAGACGCCTGTGTGAAGGTTCTCAGGGTGGGGCATGGCCAGAACCAGGCAGAGACACCTATGTGAAGGTTATCAGGGTGGGGTATGGCCAGGACCAGACGGAGACACCCAAGTGAACATCCTCAGGATTGGGTGCAGTGACCTGGTGCTCTTCACTGCCATACTGTATCTCGTGCTGTCACTACCTAAAAATCTCTTGTAGAAAGTCATCAGTCTTACTCAGGGGCTGGCAGATTTTTCTGTAAAGGGCAAGAGAGTAACTATTTTAGGCTTTGAGGCCACAGCCCTGCAACCTCTGCCTCCTGTGAAAGCGCCTCAGGCAGTGTGCAAGCTGATGGGTGAAGCTGGTCCCAATAAAACTTTATTCACCAAAACAAGCAGGGGGCTGTGTTGGCCCATGGGCTCCAACTGACAATAGCTGACCTGACTCCCTCCCCCAAATCCAGGAGAGTCTGCCTCAAGTTGTCTCCACAGCACACAACAGGCTCTAATCTGCTTCTGTGGGGAGGAGGGTGTGCACCTAGATTTTGGCTGGTGTCTTAGCATGACCAGAATATTCTGTTGCCGGCCTTCTGAGTTCTCAGGCTGATAATCTAGGACTGACAAGTGGGACTTTCTATCTCTGTTTAGATAGGTTTGTAAAAAGTGCCCAAACAGAGGGGAGTCAGGTGTCAGGTGGGCAGAGCCTTGCCCCAGGGGATCCTCAGGCCGCATGTGAGACGATAGGTTCATTGGTCCTGTGTGTCCATCTTCTGCTGGGCAGTGGAGAGAAGGACACGTCTGCACGCTCTGCCCGGCCGAGCACCCTCAGCGTCAGTGGCTAAGGAAGTCAGGCTGGGACAAAGCTGGGAAAGGGCCATATTGTCCTGTTGACAGGATGTCACAGTGAGAATCAAGCTTATTGCCCGAGCAGGTGTGTGGTTTCCCAGTTTGTGGCAGGGAAAGTGCCCCCTCCCAACTCACCCAGACCTGGGAGAATATGGCCGACAGGAGCTCTGGGTTCTGCAGATACATGAGATATGAATTTGGCTTTAGGTGATGGCCTGCAAAACGCTGCAGAGTCCATGGTTCTGGGAAGCCACGGCCAGCAGCTCCCACACCCTGAGGCTGCAGCTGCTTCTGTTTTAGAGTCTGTGGCATCGCTGTGATTTAGAGTGGATTTGTCACCCTTGGCCCGTACACCCTGACATGTCTAGTCCATGCCATGTGTCACTCCAAGCCAGCTGTGAGCAAAGGGCCAGGGTGTGTCAGGGCTAGACAACTGTCACAGGACCCTCTCCCCACTGCCAAACCTGGTGCACAGTATTCTACTTTCTGCTCACATGTCAGTGAGCAGGTACACACAGGTGCACAGGTGAACACATGGGTACACACATGCACAGGTGAACACACAGGTGCACA